TTTACTTGTTAAAAAGTAGTTTTTGTATTACCATGTTTATACCTAATGCCTAATTATGTTTTGGATAACCCAGTGTTTTGATTGAATGGTATCAAAATATTTGAAGTAGCATTACTGCCATAAATCTGTCAGCTCTTAATATCTAACACAGAGTAGGTAGCAGTTTTGCAAATTGTAGGTAATAGAGCCTCAAGAACAAACATACTGCATCAATAATCCCAAAGTTAATACATGGATGTGTCCAACATTTACTAATATATTAATAATTAAGAAATACAGGTAGACACATTCTCCACATTTTAGCCGAGTGCAAAAACTAAAGTATTTTCATGTAACCAAAAGAAAATAAATGTCAAACAGAAAACAGGAACCCATATTTCAGAGAAAAGACTCTGCACAGGACAGAGATGTTCATTTCTGAAGATGGCATTAAAAATGATAAAGTAATGCAACCGATACATTCTTCAGCATATCTGTAGTGACTGCATGACTTAAATAACTTAAGATCTGGATTCCTAGTTGCAGCCAACCAATAAGTTGAGACAGATTCTTCAAAATCAGGAACTCCATCAAAGTAACAAATAAGCTTGACGTCTCTGATAAGGATGGAAAGAATAAAGTCCTTTAAAAAGTCAGTTTAAAACTCACTTAAACACACTGCAACAAGACTGCCAAGGTGCATAGTGGGCTAAGAATTTACCACTGCTACTCAAACTGGTAAAAAGACAAAAAAAGAAAAAGGAACTAAAGCTCTGCTCAAATGGTCACGTACTGCAGATGTAGCCAATAGATTCTAACATTTAATTAAATAAAATAAATCAAAGTGCACATATTGTAACTTGGTGGAAGTATTTGTGCAGCTTTAACATCTCTGATGACAATGTCAGATATTTTGTACAGGTTAAAAAGGTATTAAATGATAAGTGTCACATTTAAAAGAATATCTCACCATGAGACACTCCCAGTAGGATCACCATCAATCCCAGCACAGCTTCCATGTCTCCTCACTGTTCAGTGTGTGTTGACACAGTCGACAGCCGTCAGTACTTTTTTAAATGATGCACATTTGTCCAGCAGGTAACAGTCAGAAATGGCTCCAGCTACTGATCAGCCTCTTTTGAAATGCTGTTCTCACTCTGTGTGTGGAAATTTGAAAAAGGAAGTACAACTAGCATGTTCATTACTTTGCAGAAATAAAAGGAACCTCACAGATCTTCCACAGACTTTGTTTAATTATTACTCACACTGTCACAAGACTATTTATAGATCGATAACAAACTAACCATATCCTGCCCATCACTCAGTGTCTACAACATTCATGCAGTTTAATGCAATTCAACAGCAGCCCCATTTATATTCCACCTTAAGTCCATATTTTGGTGCTGATACAAAGTACCTTGTATACACATCCATGAAGAAAAAAGAAACACTTTTAAAACATTATAAAATGTACACTTTGACTTTAGGGATTGTGGTATTTAGGCTAATTAGTGGTTTGAGTGGTTGTTTTTGCCAATGCTCATTCAAACCAGTACAAGTTCTGAAAAATGACACTATTACTCAAAAGTATGTTTTAAATACTGCATTCTCAATAATCCAGATATAAATATTTAAGAAAATTGTCTTAATCTGCACAAAGCATTGTGCAGTGAGTGAAACATTTTATTGCTCATCTAAGTGTTCATCTGAATCATAGGCCTGCTCAGATTGTCTGCCTGCGCAGACTACTGATCCAAAATGTGAATCCCACCCTCAGAGAACAGTGTGTTTAATACTTTGATGAAAGGCATTGGTATACTCATCTTATTTTTCTTTGAAATGAGTAAAATAGTGAAAAGTAGTTTCTTTGTTTTTGTGACTGGTTTCATTTTGTGTTTACTGACCAAAGAAGACTGTTCATTTTCAGTTTGTTTAATACTGTGAAAGCAGAGCCTCAGTGAAATAACAGGGCAAATCATGACACCTATAATGTCAGAGGAAGTTGGTATTAAAATTATTAAATTATTTAAATCTAAAACTCTTGGGTTTGAAAGCTAGCTCACTAAAACTAAAAGCAACTAGCTGTTTCTCTTCATCATCATTATTTTTTTCCACAAGAAGGAACCTGAATTAACATCTAATAATTAATTATTTAAAATGGGACTACACTACTGATGATTATGGGTATACCACTATGACAGACTTTGATATGAGTTCCCACATTCTGGCAACCTTCAGATAAACTACTCTAGTCTAACTACTGAAAGCAGCTGTCATAGTGATCAGTTTCAGATAAGAATGTGTGAACTCAGAAAGAACAGAAGTGATTAGAATGGAACTCAAGAGAGAGAAAACAGAGAAGTTGTCTTTCAGTTTAGAGATACTAATACTTTTAAACCAAATGTGTAATTTTCTTGTTCAGCTAATCATGCAGTTTCACGGACATTGTAATATTTACAATTAAAATAAGTGCAATAACTAAATAAAATTAAAACAAGTAACTGGCTATGTATTTTCAAGCCAGTTCAACACATACATGATAAAAATTCCAATTTATGTTCAAGTTTAAATTACAGATTATTTCAAATCTCAAAACACATTCGTAGACATCAATGATTGTTCTGTTGTTCACTGGTTTTAAAATGTTTTCTGAAGTTATGTATGTTGAGGTTACATGTTAGTTAGTTTCACCATAGAACTTATTTTGCACAGAAGAAAGTGAAATTGACTAGACCAAACCCTAATATTCAAAACTTCATTAAAAATCATCCTTGATAGTTGACGTCAAACTTTCAACAAATTTCCTCCTCTGGTCTACCTACTGTACATCTATGTCAAGTTTCATCTGAAACTGCTTTCATACTCCCAAGAAATTAAAGGACAAGTCTGCTCAAATTTCATAACATTCAAGGAATGTGATAACTCCATGTTAAAATGTATTTAGAAATCATTTGTGAGAGGTGACGTGAATTTCGCAATGGATTCCTCTTCTTTGACACCCACACTATATGTGTGCAGTTTCATCTCAAACCATTGCATAACTCTGGAGAAATTAACGGACTTTTCTTGTTAATTTCAACATGCACATTTGATTATAACAATAAATAAAAAAATAATTAAATATAATCTTTGATTGTTGACATGAAATTGTCAAATGAATACTCCTTTCTTTTACCTTCTCTATATTTGTAATAAACAAAACTTTACAAAAAAAAAATCATCTTTCTTTGACAGTTGACATGAAATTGTCCACAAATTCCTCTTCTCTAACACTAACACTACATCTCTGCAAATTCAGCTTCAACCACTGAAACATTTCTCTTGTGAACTCTAGTGAACTCAAGACAGACAGTAAAGTGGTGTTGAGCACCCCAATACAGGAAGTAGGGATTGACTCTCTGTTTAAAGAGTCCAAATCTCTGATCCTATCGATCTTACCCAGCAAACAGTGCAAAGCTTTGATGAAACCGATGTGTGAGGGGACTCACCCAGCTGTAACTGCCTCAGAAACCCAAGTTGCCCTGCTGTCATCTGTTCTCGTAAAGTATAACCAAACTTTTGAGCATTTGTGCCACTTAGTCGTCATGCTTCCTATCGGGTAAATGACACTACGCAACGTGGTGACATCATTCAAGGGAACTGGAATCGATAGGGGAATCGTTTGCAAAAATGGCAAACAATTCCAATTAATTGAAACAGTGGGAACCGGTTCTCAACAAGAACCATCCGTACCTAAGGGTCTGTTAGTTTAAAAGGGCTGGAGTAACCTGTAAGATGGATAACAACACTCTGCTGGGTGCTGGGAATATTGTACTCAAAGGATGACACACTGAAGAACTAGAACATAATTAAATATATAAAACCAAAGTAAATCATGAACCCACATAACTCAAAACACTTAGTCGGCGACCCAGGAACCATGACAGTTAATTCTAAATAGTATAAATAGCTCTTACATGTTACTCCAGCCCTTTGAAACTAACAGACTGTTGGTGCTGTTTTCCAAGGCACTAGTTTTTTTGTTTTTTTACATGCAGTGCATGTATAAGACATTCACAGAATTTGAACACTTAAATAAACAAATAAAACTGCAAAATGTGAATTTCTCTCTCTCTCTCTCTCTCTCTCTTTTTAAAAAAAATAAAAATAAATAAAAAAAAAATATATCCCCCCTTGCCCCTGCAGGTGGTCTATCCTTCAAGCTCAGGTCCTCTACCAGAGGCCTGGGAGCTTGAGGGTCCTGCGCAGCGTCTTAGCTGTTCCTAGGACTGCGCTCCTCTGGACAGAGATCTCTGATGTTGTTTTCTGGGATCTGCTGGTGCCACTCACCTAGTTTGGGAGTTACCGTACCAAGTGCTCCAATTACCACTGGGAACACTGTTACCTTCACCCTCCACATTTTCTCGAGCTCTTCTCTGAGCCCTTGGTATTTCTCAAGCTTCTCGTGTTCCTTCTTCCTGATGTTGCTGTCATTTGGGAACCGCTGCATCTATCACTACAGCTGTCTTCTTCTACCACCACTATGTCCAGAGCTTGTTCCTGTGCTGCCATGATTAGTGCCTATGTGCTGTCTTTCAGTCCAGCTTTGTCCAGCCACTGGTATTTTTTCTTTCCCAGTGTCGCCAAAGTGTGGATCAGTGAATTGATGTCTCGTTCACTCTTGCCATACAGCTTGATTTCATCCATGTACAGGAGGTGGCTGACAACTGTTCCATTCCGTAGTCGGTATCCTTAGCAAGTCTTGTCAATGATCTCACTGAAGGGGTTCAGGCCTATGCAGAACAGCAGTGGGGACAGAGCATCTCCTTGGCAGATCCCGCACTTGATGGTGACTTGTGCTATGGGCTTGAAGTTGGCCTCTAGTGTTGTACGCCACATCCCCATTGAGTTCCTGATGAAGGCTCTTAGGGTCTTGTTGATCTTGTATAGTTCTAGGCATTCCAGGATCCAGATGTGGGGCATTGAGTCATAGACCTTCTTGTAATCAATCCAGGCAGTGCAAAGGTTGGTCAGCATTGCCGTTATGGGTTGCGTCCTTCTCCCATATGCTCTTCCAGTATTGCTCCGTCTCCAGCCTCAGTGATGCTGTTCTCCCACTGTTCCCCTGCCAATGAGAGCACACCTTGGCTGGTTCTGTAGAGAACAGCTGGTTTATTCTCCTGCCTTTGATCTCTCTGGTGTACCTCTTCAAGCAGCTGGCCAAGGCTGTAAGTCGTTGCTTGGCAGTTTCCAAGGCCTCAGGAATGGACAGCTTGCTATACTTCTTAGGCAACTTCTTTTTTGCACCTTTCTGCAGCTGCAATAGTTGGCTAATCTCCCTGCGTGCTACCCTGATCTTAGCCTCTAGTCTCCTTCTTCATGGAGGGTATTGCTCCTTGTGGCTGTGGCTTGTTCAACTTCTATCTATCTATCAATCAATAGATATCAATAATCTATCAATGGTATATATATAATGGTGTATATAGTTGTTGACACAGCTGGCACACTCTACAAAACGTACAAAATTGTCATGGTCCCTGTGCCTCCCTGGCCAGCCCAGTGTGGCCACAATTGTTTGTTGTTTTGCTCTCTCTCTCTCTCTTACCTGTAGGCCTGGGTGGAGCTCAGATTAGGCTCCCGCCCTTGGCCTACACACCTGCAGCTGATCTCCGGTGATTTGCAGTTGATCTCTGGCTCTACTTAAGGCAGGGGCTCTGAGCTACTCGTCGTTGGAATATTGAGTAACTCTCATTAGTATTGCCTGGCTCCATTGCGATTCTGTTGTTCCCGTGCTTGCCTTCGACTAACCCTCGTCTTTGTAAATAGGTATATCTGGATCTGCCCTTTTTGTGACCCCTGGACCCCGTGAGTGAAAGTGAGCTGCTTGTGTGGAGATTGTTTGGACGAGGAGCGGAGCGAGTGCGAAGACGTGTTTCCCCAGCCTGTTGACCACCGGGACCCTGGTGTTACCCCCCCCCCCCCCCGCTTCACGTGTATATAGCGCACCAGTGTGATTAATAAAAAGTTGTTTGAACCGTGCTTTCTCAGTCTGCGCCTGAGTCCGTTCCACCGCCGTGACAAAAATGCCTTTTGTAGAATTAAAAAGGTATGGTTTCACTGACTCAGTGAGTATAGGTAGTCTAGCGGTTTGTCTTAAAACAACTGTACTCTCCAAATTTAGACTTGAAATAGATTTTCGACTTTAATCTCAAAATTTGGACATTATTCTTGAAGTGATCAGTAATATTTTTTCTTAATGTGGCTCTAATACACTATAAAATAGAGAGAAATAGAGAAAATAGAGCCATTTTAAATGGTTGTAGCCTTTCTACAAAATGCAGAGATGCCTCCTGTGATAAAATGAACAATTCTGACACTCTGTTTCAGTTAACTTACCCCCATAATTATGACAAGTTGTTGTTTATGTCAAATCTTTTCACATATACCGTAGTTGTAGTTGACACCCAAAATAAATAATAATAATAATAATAGTGTCTGAAAACTGCATTTAAAATAAACTTACATTGTAGATAACTGAGTGCTTTTCCAAAATCTAAATAGATTAAATAAATACAAATGGTAAAAATGATACATCTTCCATCATATTTGATTATTTATTAAACAGTGATGGAGCTAATTAAACTGATTAAAATTAGTTAGATATTATTTAAACAGTTCTTCTGCCGTAACTGTATTTTAAGTGTATTTTAACTTTAAGTGCATATACATATGAAATTAATCTCAGAATTTCAATCTCTGTCAAATAGGAATAGGTCACTCCAGATGTTGACCAATAATATTTACAAACACTGTGTACTAAAATGATTGCTTTCATATTTAAAAACTGAGGTTTTGTGAGAATATATACAAAAATATAGTTAAAATAGTTACAGTTCTTTACAATAAAGTCAGATAAGTAACTAAAAGACAGTTAAAACAGTAATAGAATGCTGCATAATAGCACCATCTCGTGGGAATAAATAATAATACTGCTTCAGACTGATTTGTTGACCAGATAAACCTTTTTTGGACTATCATAATTTGTTTCAATAGGCTTTTGTTTTATGTATATAGTTCAAAGATATGCCACCTCAAAAGATAGCATCAGGTCTCCTTATTAAAGCGTCTTAAGAGTCACTACCTGAGGTACTCAGTCACTGCTGGATCATTGAGGAACTTCAGTCAGTGTAACTCCGGGTCTTGTGCTGGTTTGTTGTGCTTCTTGTCATCTTGTAAAGAAACTTACCTGTCTCCTCTTGTGCACAGAAACCAGTGGAAAGCAGTCTGTTGAAGAGAATCACTGGCATCTTGGAATCTGGATCATCACAACTGTGAGAATCGAGTTTTGGGAATCTGTTAGGAAAACTGTTTAAACCAGGGTGTTTTATCACTGTCCAAAGGTTTTGCTGCACTGAAATTTGTACAAACATTTAGCCATTTACTTTATTTGTTTCTAATTTAAGGATCATCTGGTCCAACTTCTACCAAGTCAAAAACTAGACAAGTTCACATGAAAAAAGAAAAACTCCCACATAAAAACGGTCTATCATCATGTCTGCAGAATACAAAAGCAGTAAAGACTCACAGTGTTTATATAACATACTATCTTTAAATCAAGAGATCATAAAATAATACATGTGTAGTCCTCTAGTATAATGCAGATGAAAGTAAAATAAATCAGTAAGTATTAGCTTTTTAAAATTTTTCTGATGGGAAATCACATTCAATTAAAGACCTTTAGACATTTTAACATCAGCTCTTCTCTCCATGGATCTTCAGTGATGCAGTCTGTGTAGAAGCACTGAACACTTAAATCACCTGAATTTATGGATGTTAACATACAAACAATCATCTCCTGTTGGTTCAGTCTGTCGAGGACACTTTGAGTACTTGACTTGGCCAAACTCTAGCTCCGCCCTTTTCTCCAGTTGTTTCGCCTGCCGTTTCACAACCGTGAGATCAGCAAAGATTTCTTCCTGATCATTTTCTTCCTCTGCAGAGTAGCAAGAAGGAGTGGCTCAAAAACAATAAATGAATGACTAAAGGAATAGTTGCACTTTGTATGAAACTTCATTTTTGAGCTTTAGTCTTTATGGTGGATTTTGTTAAGCTGTTGAGATTTTTTCTTTTTAAAGTTAACTGTGGCTGCTTAACAATATTTAAGTGACATATAACAGAGATATAGTATATGTATAAAAGAGTAAAAAAGCAATTTGAGAAAAGTGAGTAAAGGAGAAGAAGTATTGTACCTTTTGTTTTGCTGTTTTTCTTTTTCCACTGGGCACAGATTGCTGCTACAACCACAACTAAGAAAATTATAAGTGTTGACAGAACACCACTGATCAGCGGCAAATGTCCTATTTCATAGAAAGAAGACATAACAAAAACACACAATTAAGTCAATAAACATGAAATGAAGAAAGGAGAAAATGATATCAATGGGTCTAGCCGTTTTTTCAGTTTCCACCGTACCATGGGTCATTCCTCTTACCCATTGGTGTTTGTGTGGTTGTGGTTGGTTCACTTGTTGGTTCAATGCACAGGGTGTTATTGGCTGCATACACCCACCCTGACACTTGTGTCCCATTGACTGAAGTGCAGTTGATGAAAATGAATCCTATGGGCAAAAAACAGATAATTTATCAAAAATGTAAAAGTGATACAATTGTCAAAGTTGTAATTATCACCTTTTTCACTCACCACAGGTAGATATTCTCTGTTCTTTGGAGACTTTACTAACATGGTTTTTGACTGAGCAGCCCAGATGTCCTGAGACGTGCTGCTTCAGAGTGATGATGTTAGTCTTAATATTTCTAGAAAGGAGCTCAGCATCTGTCAGTGTGCGTCCATCCAGAGTCCAGCTGTACTGAGGGCTGTCCCCTCCCTCAGAGGAGCAGGACACCCTCATCTCTCCCTGGGACAGACACTCAGAGACCAGCAGGACAGAGGACACAGGAGCTGAGAGAAACACACACAGATGAATTTAGATTTATTACAATCTCTCTAATAAAAGAAAACGCAGAGATATATAAATTACCAAAACAATTTTAAGTTTCTGTCTACTACTTGGTGTCATTTCCCAATAGGGGAAGAAAAAAAATCACCTTGAATAAACAACTGTAAAGTCTGCAGATCATTGCACAAATTATATGTATCTGAAATTCTGTAAGCTATATAGATTACAAAAACAATGTTAAGTTTGCATCTATTAATCACTTATTAACACAACATTTACCTTGAAAAAACAACTGTAAAGTCCACTCGCCTGATGATCTTCCATCTGAATCAAAGGTTTGAAGGGTATATTTTCCTCTGTCTGTAATGCTCAGGTTATTGATCCTAAATGTTCCATTACTGGGGGAAAAGTGAGATCTATGTGCTATGGTATTAAAAATAACCTTATTATTTATGGCATATAGTATTTTTAATGAATTCTTTAACAGTTGGTATCTAGATATTTCTGAGGTGCTGTCCATCAGCTGGATGTCAACAGTTCCTCCCAAAGCTCCATAACACTGAGCTCCATCCTGTCTGCCATCACAGTGAGTTTTCACACCTGTAAATTTTGAAACATTAAAGAAGAAAAACACTTGTGATTATTTCGTTTCTGCCAAATTAATTACAATAAAAACATTGATAGCAAACCAAAATTAATTCATGTGAAGACTTTTACCTGTTACAAAGTTGTTTCTTTTTTTTCTTTTTTGGGGGGGGATTAACATGTTATTACTTAATGCCCAATTGTGATTTTTGGATAATCCACAATTTTGATGAGCTGTATATAAAATTATGAAATCTATCAAATTATTTTTAATAACACTATTGCCATAATTACATACTGATTATTTCACTCTGAGTAGGTAGTTTTACAAGGTGCAGGTAATGGAGCCTCAAGAGCACACACATTTAATCGATAATATACTCACAAAGTTGTGACAGTAATGTTTTTAACATTGCAACTAGGTTACCGTAAAATCTGTTTGCACTTAAAACAACAACACTAAAAAAATGTCAATAGACGACCATTATACTGAGCAAAGTTACTACTCTCCTTTTTTTCTAGAATCACTGATACCAAAAGTGGTCTGCTCAAATGTTCACAAATTAAAGATGTAAGGAAAATGTCCAACTTCATGTACTGATTTAAAAAATCACATTGCTTATTATTAATTATCATTTTTAATAAGATGCCACATGAAAAACCCAGAACAGCTTACCATGAGACACCCCCAGTAGAATCACCACAAATCCAACCACTGCTTTCATTGTTTAATGACGTGCAGACAGCAGTTAATAGTCAGAAATGACTCCTGATCAGCCTCTTTTAAAAAGCTCATCACATTAAAAGCAGAAGCAAAACTAACATATTCATTACTTAGCAGAAATAAAAGGAACCTCACACAGCTTCCACAAACTTTTTTAATCATTATTCATACTGCCATTGGACTCTTTGTAACAAAATAACACTGTCCTTCCCATGATGGCAGTAGACTAATAAAGTTTAGTTTAGTGCAGTTTAACAGCAGTCATGTTTGTATCTAATCTAAAGTGAATTCTTGTTATATCTTATTTTAATTTAGTTTATAATTTGTTTTAGTATCTAATACATCATATTTACATCCATGAGGGAAGCAGACACTTTTGAACAGCTTTGAACATAAAAAAAGAATGAAGGATTGGTGTTTAGGATGATTGTTGGTTTGAGTGGTTGTTATTGTTGCCAAAATTAATTTCCAATGAGAGAAACACCTCATCGCTCATCCAAGTGACTTCTTCCTTCTTAGCTGACTAAATGTTTCCTACCTTATAATTAGTACAGTTACATAATGACCGAAATTACCCCCATTGCCTAAGCCAAACGCCCAGTATTATGAGCACTGATCAACTGCCATGAGTACTATTCACGGAGAGTTGGGAACTGCTGCAATCATCACAGCATTGTAAGATGGTGTGGCAGAGGTGTGGTCTCTGGCTCAGCTGCAGGGGAGGAGTGAGGCAGTGAGCTCAAGGGGGCAGTACCAAGGAGGCTGGAGGGACAAGTGGCGGTTATTTAACTAATGAGGTTTCTCCCTTTATATATAGTGAAGCTGGAGACCTGAGGGAGGAGCATGCACTGACGACTGACTGGGAAGTTAATGAACTGTGTACAGAAACGTCCAGCCATATGTTTGTGGTGCCTTAATAAACAATCCCCAAGCATTCAAACATACAAGTGTGTCAGGTCTATCATTACAGATGGTGAAAGATATACTGGTTTCAGGAGGGAGTCAAAGAGGCCATTTATGTAAAAAAGGAGCAATCAGCTGTGGAGACTTAAGACTACGTCTTTCACCATCTTACAATTCTATGATTGCAGCCATTCCCCAACTCTCTGTGAATGTTTCATCACTATTTAGCCTCTCACTAATCAAATCAGCAGACAGATTTCACACAAACTCCTCTATTCTACTCAAATGCAAACAACATGGACAACATAACTGACCATGATTCCTGTAAGTGATCAGACCTCGTTAATTTATTTAAAAAAAAATACATTTTACATTTAAGAAAAAAGCCTTCTGTCTCATGTTCATTCTGAGAGGAGGAGAGGAGACTCTCTTTGCTGCTGTTTACATGTTTGGCTCATGATCACATATTAGACAATGGAACCACCAAGAGAAAAAAGGAAACTTTCTCCAGGCTACAATCGTTTTGATCCCATAACGTCAAATAAGGTATATGTTTTTTCTTTCTTGTGTTTATGTATTCCTTTTTGAGTGTTTTTCCAAAGCAGGAGAATGATCTCAAAGAGACAAAATCAATCAATCATTAACTCATCTCTACTCTGTTTTTCCAGAAGGGAGCTCAACATCTCTCTGAGCTGCTACAGCCTTATACACTCACCCGCTCTCTCAGGTCAGCTGATCAGCTGCTCCTGCATGTACCTAGGACTGGGCGTAAACTTAGAGGAGATCGTGCTTTTGCTGTAGCAGCTCCAAAACTGTGGAACGAGCTTCCTTTAGAGATCAGACAGGCCAGTTCTTTATCTGTTTTT